AGGTTTTGTTTTTTTTTTTCTTAGCTGTTTGTACAGCGTGTTCAGAGACTCGAGTATTTGGCTGGTGAACTGTGCATCTTTACCATGAGCTGAATGGGAGCTGAAGGCATGCGGTGAGGGGGAATATTACCCCTGACTCTCACCATTGTAATTGAAAGTAGAATTTGACACATTGGCATCTCTCCGTGTCAGCCATTGTCACTGGCTTCAGCTGCCACTGTTAAGTATGCAGTCATTCATCCTTGGCAGACGCCATCCTTTACAGCACCAGAGGATGGTCTCTGGATGTTAATGCCACCGCGCTCTGGGAGCAGCTGGCTATATCGAATTCAAGGCATGCAGATCGTCTTGGCCATTTTACTTAGCAGATGGGTAAGGCTTGATAGATTGAAGATTTAGTTTCCAAGTCAAGGGCCAAATGTTGCAGTGGGAGAGAAAAGTAAATTATATCACTATTCTGAGGGGAAAGGCTCAGGTAGTGTATCACAAAATTGTTGCCATTCATTTTCCCCTGACTTGCACAAAATGCATGTCATTTCACCTTTCAATATAGCCAGCTACGGCGTTCTCCTTTGCTTTGAGATGCTTTACAGTACTGTCTGTGAGCCCATTTAATGAGCTTGAAAGCAGTTGCTGCAAATTTATGACGGTTTAATAAGTGTAAATGCCAGATTTTTTTTTCGTTGGAAATGAGAGAGAAATTTGTATTTCGTATCACTCAGACTGGAAGATTTTTCTTCTGTTCTTTTTTCCCCCACACTCTTTTCTTCAATCCAGTAGACCCATTTAAGTATATGTTTAACAGAAAAGTGTATTTCTGACTTCTGAGCTGTTCAAGCTATTAGTATTCACCTACTTTTTTGCAAGGTACCAGTGATCATTAGAGAGCTTTGCTCCCTGGGCCTACAGTGCATTGCTTAGATGGAGGGTAACCTGGTTTTGGAGAGGCTCCCAAAGTAATAGGGAACGGGGGGAGTTGGAGTCTTTCCCTCTGGACAGAGGTTTGTAAAGCTAGATCTGGGGTAGCTGTGTGGCCTTTTAGCTGCCTCAGTGCTCAGTTGGAGGTTCCTCTGATTTTTTTTTTTTATTTATTATTTTTCCTTAAGTCATTGTAAACTCCAAATTTTTGCCTGACATTCTTTTTCCTGCTTGATTGAACTGCTCCCAGCATTAAGACAGGCTGTGGTTCACTTACAAATTTAGCACACGTTTCAAATTGTATAGCACGTGGTCACAGGTTTTTTGTGAAATCAGAGACTTCAATACATTCTGGGTTTGTTCCATAACATCATCAGATGAGTGGTGAGCATCAGCTACTTTATAGGGCAAGAGTGATAGAGAATGTGAACTGCCTTTGTTGCTTCTTTGTTTTGTGTTTGTTTTTTTTTTCCCATATGTTTGTTGTTGGAGTTGTTTTTTTAATTTGCTTTTTAACTCACAGTGAACTCAGTACTGTGGGGCTTTCTATGGTAGTATCTTGCCCTGCAAAGTCTGTTCCCACATGCTGTGGCTTGGCACCATGCTAGCATCACCAGTCCCCTGCCCGTCCTCTTGTCACACTCTTGCTCTGAGCATTCCCTGGAACTTTCATTATCCTTAGGAAGTGCCCAGCTCATGGCCTGCTCCTGCTCCTGCCCTGGCAGCTTTTGGGGCACCAAGCAGGGGACAGCAGGTTGTGCTGATGAAAGGTGTTAACGCTCTTGTCAATAGAGTTCGTGACTGATCAACCTTGTTGTTAACTGAAGAATGAATCATTTTTCAGTGCCTGCATTAGGTGCAGGAGCTGTAAGTAAATGCAGCCTGTCTAGGGTAATGATTTCCACCATGCCTTTGCTTGAAGAACGTCTCTGTTTTATGACTGCAGAATGGGGTCACTTGTACACGACCTTTTCCTACATTGCAAGTGCTTGTTTTATTCATTGCATTAACAATAGCTGTTCACTCTACCAGAATGTCACATGCACCAGGTATTGGAGTCACCCAAAGGGTATGATAAACAAGGAGTCTGGGCTTCCTTGTGTCATCTTCATCCCATATTCACCCTGTGGGGAGAGCTGTCTTAGCACAGGAAACTGCTTAATGATATTCCCGTGTTTATTTTTCCCTTGCACTTAGCATGAGAGTTACCTATTTATTTCTGCTGAAGAGGATTACAAGCATTCTTCAATTACAAATGATGCAAGCAATTTGTTATTTATTCTGTATGCTGCAGACCTATAGAGTGTTACTTTTGAATGAATGCATCATCTTCAGGAAACAACATTAGTGGTAGTGGTGCTGGGGGTATCTTAGGGCAATTTCAGGACGGTTTTCCATCTGTCCCATTAATCCATGCAGTCCTTTAGAATCTATTCGTAAGATAATAAAAAATAAACTGTCTTAACACATTACATGTGAAAAAAAAATGTTGGTGGTAGATTTGTTCTTCTTTCCCTTCTTTTTTTTTCCCTCGCCTTTCTTTTATGTCTCAGCTGTTTTCAGAGACAGGATTCTTGTATGGGGTGAATCTCTGATCTCAACCAGCATGGTAGCTCCAGGCCAGTTAAACCACAGTCATACAGCACTTGGGATAGAATTTGACATTCTGGGTTTCAAAAACCTGCTTTTTTTTTCTATGAACACAGGTAGAAGAAAAGATGCAGAAAAATGCAAGCAAAAAAAAAAAAAAAGAAAAAAAAAAGAAAAAAGAAAGAAAAGAAAAAGGGAAGGAAATCCAAGGAATGTTCTTTTCAGATCTTAAGGAAAAAAAAAAAGATGTAAGAAAAGTTTTGCTCTGAAGCCTGAGCCATTTCACAAAATAAGAAAACTTTTTAGCGCTTTTCTACTGGCCTTGCCAAGATCCTGCAGAGGGTGTAGTGAGATGTGGGAGAGCAGTGTGTAAGTAAAGGTTAAAAAAGGGAGAAAAGCATCTGCAAGGAAAACAAGATTATATCCCAAGCAAGTCTGAACTGCAGTCTCCCCAAGTGTCACTTGTTTGCCTGGGAGTCTTAGAGAAACGTGAGATCCCATCCCCTCAGAGAAAACATGATTACAGATGCATGCAGCATATGCTTTCCCACCCCCAGAGAAGTAACATGACTCTCGATTTCATGCTATTGGAGAGCACAACATATTTGCAGAGTATGTTATCCAAAAGATTGCTTAGATCTATACAGGCATACCACCTCAGCAGATTAAAGGGGTGCTGCCAAGGCTGAGGTTACAAATTGATCTACTTTGACAGAAAATCCCAAAAGGAAGGATTTTAACCTTTAGGTTTCTTTCCATCCGTTTGCTTTCTTTGAACTGATGGTAGCTGTCACGAGAGATAAAAACAAAGCAAACAAAATAAAGCTCTGTACAACTTACAGTTAAACAGCGATAAATGAAGCATTGTTCAGATCCACTGCTGCTTTTTCTTTTTTAGTGGTGGCTGTGGCTTGGAGAAACCTGAATAAATGGAAAAGATGCAAGAACGTGTCTTCCAACAGCTCTGCATTTTTAAAGTGTTTACTGTTGATTTGCCAGAAGCCAGACAGAACCTACAAAGTGGGTCATTGGGTTCAGTGTAGTGTGATTATTATTTATACAGAGTCCAAAGTGTACAGAGCACCCCTTTGGGCATATAAAAGTTCATGCTTCAAAGAGCTTACAGCCTTCAGGCCTAATAATATTATTGCCAGTAACATCTAAGCTGTATATATTTCAAAGCTGCTGCTGCTGCTTTCATAATTTTATTGCAGATCTTGCCCTACCTTATCGTTGTGAGTACTGAAGTACTGTGATGAGAAAAGGATCTTCAATTTCCATTTAAAACACCAAAAGAAAAGAAACCTTTTTGTCTGGAAACAAGAACACAGGAATGTGTCGTGAGCATGGCGAAGTATTTCAAAGGCCAAATAAACAGAAGAAAGTTGGGGTGTGTTGATTTTGAGGCTTTTTTTGCTTGTTTCTTCTTCTTAATGCAGTTGGCTAAAAAGATAATGACACTTCTAGGATTTATTATTAGCAGTGAGGGAAAAGGATGGGAAAAACCATACTCACACTTTCTACAGTAACACATTTTGGTATGTGCTGCAGTCAGCGATGCCCTCGTCCTGCAGCCATGCTCCAAGCCAGTTCCGTGCTTCACACAGAGCGCACGTTCCCTGCTAGGCACAAGTTCCTCTCGTGGTTTTCTTCTTCTAGCTCCACTCCTTCCTTCACATGTTATAATCCAGACAGAAAGTTGTTAATCTCTCTTTTTCCTCACGCTGTGAGATCACGGGCAAGCAGGAAAGCACAGGAGCCCTTTTGCAGTTGATTTGTTTCCTCATTTGGAGCAATCTGCCCAAAAATGGTCAGTGGTGCTCAGGTTTTTGATACTGACTGGGAGAAAAAAAAGAAGAAAGAAAAAAGAAGCACTACATGAATGTGGTACGCACAGAATTTACTTTGCAGAAGTAAATTAGCAAGTAGTTCAGGTAATGGGACACGTTCACAGAAATTGTAGGTTATTCCTTCAAAGCCTTTGGAGATGCAAAAAGTTACAAAAATTTTTAAAAATGCATTACTGGATGTAAATGCCTCAGCAGTGTTGCAAGTTGATGAGTAGTAACATGATGTCATAGCCCAGCTCTTATGGCTGAGAGTGGTCCAGCATTACTGATGGCAGCAGTGGCATCAGATTTGTTCCTGTACCAGTGGACTCTTCCTGGATAACTTCTCTTTATCACAGCAGTTTTCCTCTAGGAAAGGAGAAGTAGCCAGAGAGACGCTGTATCTCTGTTTTTAGGCTTTGCTGGGTAATAATGTTGCTAATGTTTTAATGAATGCAGAAAATGCCTTCTTCTGGTTTAACCTTCCTTGCTTCATTTTATTACACCATGTATCTTTGGCATTTGATGAGGAGCCATTGTAAATGTGAGAACTAAGCAGCTTGTTAGATAACATCTTTTATTCCTCTCTTTAGAAGATTAAGCTGAGACTGTTCTGTCGGATGCCAGAATAGATGTAACCAATCCTGTATCCTTTGCGTGTAGGTCAGTCAGAGGGACAATTCTGCACTGGATCCCATTATCCATGGGTTGAAGGGCGTCGTACATCATGGTAAGTAGCTGCTTAAACTTTCTTCTTGCTGGGAAGGGGAAAAGGGTAGGAATGTTGTCCTTAAAGGATCAGGTCACCCATAGGAGGACACAGTGAGCCTGCACATTCCTCATTCATGATGTCTAAGGGCATTACAGCCATTATTTGATTGGTAAAGACCAGAGCCATTTGTTACCTGAAAATGGGTTGGGGCTAACAGTAAACAATTTGTTTCTTTTCAGTCAGTGCTCTAGAATGCATAAGTTATCAATCAAAACCCACTACAATATATCATTTGTATTAGTGCTTCATTCCTGCTATTTATCTTCTGTTTGCTCTAAAAATACTCCTCTCTGAAGTTTCTATTTGTTTATAAATTATTTGTCTTTCAAATTTAGGGAGCTGATAATGAAACAGAAAATTAACTATCTGTGAAAATTAATTAAACTTTGCAGCAGATGAACATCTTTCTAATGCTGACATAAATACGATCATTCGACTGTTCTGATGCATATAAACCTATTATCCTTGAACTTATAGCAGGTACTGAAATAAATAGTAATATATTTTATACTTTTATAACCAGTTTTTTACTTAGTAATTCTACTGAAGCCTTATCACAGGTAATGCATCATTAGCAACGACATCAAGATGCTCCAGTTCCAAAAGTACTCTTGTCAGGTTTTAATATAATGATTTGTAAAGTTTTAATAATCTCATTATAATTCAAAAGGCGTCTGCTGGAATGGCATTAGGTACTCTAATAAATCTCCGTCCCATCTATAGTGCTGCGATAAAACATCTTTGCACCTTTTCAGAGCATTGTCTTTAGACATTAGCTAGTGCTCTAGAGCTTAACAAACATTTTTTTCTCCTGACTGCAAACCTAAAACTAGTTGACAGTGTTAGATTAAAACAAATAGGATTTTGGATTAATTGCTCTACTTTCAGAATCATTTAACATTGCAACTGGGAACACTAATAAATCCAAGTGGAAGTGAAAAACGGGTTAAATGGTAACATACCATACAGTCCTTCATTCTGAGAATTTTCTATGGGCTTCCTGTTCATAAATTGCAGTGTTCTGCTGTGAAATAAAGACAACACGCATGACCAAAAAACTGTTGCTTTCCACAAAAATTGATGTTATTATCCAGCACCCAGTGGGTAACGAAGCAGCTGGCAGAAGTGAAATAAGGACCAGTTGGACTGCAAAGATTTTTCAGTGGCTGTATATTTTGACGTTGAGGTCAAGCTGCCATTTAACTGGACCAAGATCTCTTCATAGCCGCCTGCCTTCTATTTCAAGCCGCTCTACCCTCCGCAAGCTCTGCGCTCTTTTAACCATCTCATCATTTTTTGTGCTCTGTCTCTTGCTCCTCACCACTGCAGCTGAAACAGCCAGTGGCAGATAATCACACCAATACCTCCTAAAAGTATTATTTCATTCCCAAAAATAATTGTTTGGGTAAGATGCGACACAGTCCCAAGGCTGTGATTCCCTGACCACATAATGATTAGTTCGTCTTGGCGCTGCCTACCCACAGCAAAATCTGGGTGGATAAAAGGCGCTTATTTTTGTTTTGCTCACAATGCACAGAAGGGTAATAGTGTTTCAAGAAAAGGAAGTTGCTTGATATATTTCAATAGCTAGTTTCCTTTTAAAAACATTAAGGAAGAAAAAGAGGAAAATCTTGCTTTCCTTCCTGTTTCAAAGGCTCTGATTAAAGGCCTTTTTAAAGTCTCTTTTCGTGGGTAAAGTAAGGGAATTTCCTCTTACAAAGTACTTGCTCAAAGAAATTGTTCTCTTTAACTTAAATATTGATAGAATGCTTCAGTAAAAAATTCTTGTGTCGTATCTCTCTTTTAATGTGATTATCTAGAGTAATAGTAAAAATGTGAGCTTTTATTCCAGACACCTTATTTCTTTTCTTGAAGTAATTTACTTATATCTTATGTGAGCACATTTCTATGAATTTAAGACTCTTCCTGTATTCCATTTGGCTGCATTCAACTGGGACCCAATGGAGTTTTTGGCCAGAATACATTGGAAAACAGTGGGCTTTGAACAGAGTGGTTGAATCAAGCAAGGATTCAACAAAAGAAGTTGGAGAAAGGCAAAGTGGAACCCTTAAGTTTATTTGTATTTTATAGTATTTCCATTCCAACATTATTTTTAGGTGGCCATCACAATACAGAGGCACATCCCTATACTGTGGAAGTCAGGAATGCCTATGAATGTTGAGATGACTGCCTTGCTTTTAAATTAGACCATGTTTATATGTCCTCTGTCTGGATAGAACATCAGCCCTTTGGCATTGCTTCTGCCTTGTATCTTATTTCAACATGCCTATTTAAGTAAGATTTTCTTCTTTTTCCATCTCTCTCCCTCTTGACCAGTAGAGCATCCTTGCTGACTTAGGCTGGACAGTCACTCCTTCCTCCCAGCCATTAAGGAAATTGTACGAACTCAAACTCAAATCATCATTTCTCCAAGTGCCCTGCTAGAAGGACTGTCCCTAGATGTGGACTCTGCACCATGAACTCCACTCTGTCCCTGTGATGGCAGCAGCTCAGATAACCCTCAGTTACATATAAGGATGCTACCGACGAGGTTGATCTCATTTTTCATTTTTCTTGCATACCTTTTCAGTTTTTCTATCAAATTCTGTATTTTCAAGTGCCCTTCCAGGGGTAAGAGGACAATTTAAGTGTCAGAAGGACTTTCTGTGAAAAGTGAAAGCATTTTTTGCTTGAAATTTCGTCAGGGATTTGAATTACTTATTAATTTGATGGAACATAAATAATTGTGCCCTTCACAGTGTCACCAGCTCGGTAACAATGACAGAGAAACGTACGCATAAAAATCAATACAGGCTTAGTCGCTACTCAGAGTTCACTTTATTTCCTCATCTCCAGGCATAATTTTCTAGAATCTTAATGTCACATCAAGCTTAGTTTTACATGAGTAACTATACAAAGTTTTCCCAGCTGGAAGGAAAACCACAGCGGTCGCATACACCCGAACAATGTTTGGATCAGTGATAAGCTTTGGGGCTTGTCTCACATCCTCCTGCTGAACAGAACGTTCCCATCGCGCCGCTGCTCCCAAACTCCTGCGTCCGCCCTCGCAGAGCATCGTAAAGACTCACGAATGACGAGGAGGCTCTTTTCAGAGCTGTCAGCTGCCTGTTGCTGATTTTAAAATTGCTTTCTGTGGTTTAAAATTGGTTCTGTGCTCTGCCAATGATTTGTCACACCTCCCGCCAGCCGGGGCCCTGCTGCTCTTATGTTGCAATCCATGCCACAGGGCTGCCGATGGCCAACAGGAGCACACCGGCCTCACTGCAGTGGGGATGGAGCTCGGGCAGCATGGTGCATGTTTTCTGATGCCTACATGATGGTGTCTTTCCACTGTAACCACTGGGAACATATTTCAGCTATTCAGATGTTGTTTTCATTGTGCAAGCTGGCAGAAAAGCCCCCAGCTGTGCTGGTGCTGCTGGGATGGAGGACCCCAAGTGATGGCAGGCTGTTGAGTAAGGACACATGGCCTGGTCCTGGTGCTACAGAGCTGCTTCTGTTTTGCTGCTGGTGTGCTCAGCTGGGTGCCCTGAGCCCTTCCCTGCCCCTCATCCTTTGTGGTGCTGAGAGGGCAGAGCTGCTGCTGTGCGAGGAAGCAGGGAGCTCCCAGGCCACACTTAGAGAGTGTCCTTGTGGGAACCAGGAACATGAAGTACCGAGTTATGTCTTACACTGTTGATTTGCATTAAAATGGCTGCAGAGGCTTTTATCTGCCTCACGCTCCAACAGTATCCCAGAGGAGCACCAACAGGGTGGAGCTGCTAACACACTGACATCCCTTTCGCCCGCCTCCAGTGTCTTTGGCTTGCTCTTTTTGGTACTGTTTTGTACATAAGCCTCTTAGAGATGGTTTTCCCTTGTTCTTACCAGCTGCGTGAAAGGTGTTAAAAGAAGTCTCATTTCAGCTGTGGAGGTGATGCCTGCTATGCTTTCTCCCAGCCTGAACCCAGGTGCTCTGCTCAGTCCCACTGCACCACAGGCTCATGGCAAACCTTTCATGCTGATGGCAAGCATGTTCTGTCACACTGTCCTGTTCTCCCTGTCTGTCACCAAGAATCTACACGGATCAGCACAAAGTTATTAGCAAAACACAAATAAATTACCGCAGCAGAAAAGCTTCTATTAATGTCACAGAAATTGGGCTCTTATTCCCTTCCTTGTCAAAAGTGAGCAGCGAAAATCAAAGAGCAGCCAGATCAAAAGCTCAGGTACAAAGTGAATCGATGGCATCTGTTGCTTGTTTGTGAATGTGGGCTGAGGTGAGGGGTAGAGAGGAGCCCTTGTTTATTTAAAAAAGTGTTTGAAAATAGACTTTCTTTTTTCCTCTGTTGTATTATTATAGTGCTGAAACTTACACTAAGCATGGAGCAGGGTGTGAGCTTGAATCTTATTCAAGGTGAGCCAGAGGTGTTCAGGCAGCTTGGTGGTGACCATCGAAGTTTCAAGAACTGCTCAGGAGACCCTACCAAAATAGAATAGAAACACAATTGCTTCAACAAGGAAAAAGAAGAGAGAATGAGTATGTTGCACATCTCTCCAGCTGTCCTAGGCAAAAGGCAGCAAATAACCTGTTAGAATAAATCAGCAGTAAAAGGAAGCGATCCAGACAGTGTTAGTTACCCTGTGGATCTATCACACCAGAAGGTATAATAACAAGAAAACAACATTAGCAGCGTGACAGGTTTTTTCTTTTGTTTTTAACTTTAACCATAACACCACCTGACAAGCTATTTGCATTCTGCACTGAAAATCAGGGAAGAAAGGCAGGCAAGAGGGGTGAGGGAAAGATCTGCTACCACGGGACCTTGGCTTTTAAAGTAAAATTTCGAAGAAAGCAGAAACCCAATTTGGAACAATGAAGACCATCAAAGGAAGAGCAGCGTGATGTGAGAAGGAAATGTGGAGGAGCGTTTTTTTTCTTTTTTCCCTTGGGGAGG